TGCATACCTCCGTTAATCTTCTACCGTCATTCATTAAAAGTAGAGTGAATCTTTGAAGTTTCAAAGTGACACTTTCTGAAACTATTTCAAGGCATCGAATCGTATTCAATGACCTGTTTATACTGCGTTCCAACTCAGGCCATTAGCGACAGAGTGTTAGATACTGTGATTCCGCTCGCTCCAAGAAATAATATACAGAGATGCACGTTCTTGTAAACAACCTTTCCTTCTTAGAAAAATTACGATCCGTACTTCGGTTATTGTTTCCATCTATCCTAACGATCTCCTTCTCCTATCTTAAAAGATTTCAGAAATTCCTCCGTTTCTTGTTAATAATTCAGTCTTATTGCTGGCGACTTTCATTAGCTGATTCATTATGTCCCTTATGAGACATGTTAAAGTGTAAAGGAAGAAGAAAAAGATAGATATTAACTTCACAGATGGGCCTGACTACAGTCAGGAATCGATGTTATCATCGATATCTCGTGCAATACAGCAAACCTGCCAATAAATCAACAATTATGCTAATTACGACCGTGTAAATATTTCACACCTGTACTTATCTATCGTGTTATTATTTCAGTCTTTTTAGGAGTCACTTTTTAATAGAGTATAAGAAATTTTGTACCCTCTCAATTATTATTTTAACTTCGAATAACGAATCGAACGAATATATTTTGTGATTCTTCATCTTCCCTTAGCGTCGTAGCAGTCTCGTGCAAAACTGCGTAATAGAGGTTTCCTGCGACCATCCAAGGTCAGCATTCCTTTTGCGTCGTCCCCGAAAAAGACATAACGCAGATCCCCTTTGCTTGTCCTATGCGAGCTCTGCCAGCTATTATATGTCATGCTACTTGACTCCAAGTCATAGATAATAGATAACAGACTCATTCCCGTATTTATTAAAGTCGTCGTTAGGAATTTCATTTAACTATCACCTAGGCAAATAACCCATTTTTGGTTTTTTACAGTATAACCGATGTCCATTCTTGTTAAACTAATGTTGAATCTTTTAAGTTACGAGAATTGACGGAGTCAGATTATTAATTTATTCGAATTCAGCAAATTATCTTCACCTACCCGCGGGTCTCAAGGCTGTATTAACCCCGTACGAAATATTAAAACATACATATTCCCGTTTTCCTTTGATGCGTTTCACCGTAAGCAGGAAGGTATTTGGGTCACCTACAATGTGTTAAAGCATTACATCTCCTACCGCTTTGTCCACACCCGAGCGCACCGTATTCATAGCGCTACTTTGATGCGTAAATTGAGTTTGGCAATACACGAACATACTGACCGGCAGCATTTGCCTTCCCGACTAACATTCGATACACATCTCATTGTTTCCATCAAGTAACAAAGTAAAATGACCAGAGCTAATATAATTTGCCATTACTCCTTCTTTATGTACGATCAACTATACCGACCGTACCTTGAACCTAGTATACTCTTATACAATCGGTATTACTTAAATGGAATTTACCACAGACTTCCAAAGAATTGAACATTGTTCAGTCGTAAGAGATATCCCAAAGCCTCGAAGAATACTTTAGCTACATTTATCTTAATTATTTTGTTTGTCTTAACATCCATGCTTATTGTTGCTTGATAAACTTTATCCATCATACATTTTCTATCAATGATTTCACTTGCCGATGGTTAATAATTATTCCTTTCTCATTATTTAAAAGCGGGTAGTCACGTATCAAACTGCAGGCCACCCCCCCTTTTAAACCAAACATTCGCTGTTTCCTTTGTGTCTCATCACAGTTTATTACAAACTAAACAAGTTCAATCACAATCATATATTCAATTATTTAGCTTGGAAGTTATAATGAGTTGATTTGAACTAGACAAACCATTTCTTCCCTACGCCCATTCTTATCCTGTTCACA